GTGGAATATGGCTGTTCACATTTTAATTATTTGATTGCATGGTCTGTCCAAAACCCACAAAGAAGGTAAAACTTACCAACTGAGAAGATAAGACCAATTTACATTTCTAGGTTTCATTCAAATCCATCTGAAATAATTCTCCCTAAGAATTTTAGCAGGTTTACACTTCAGTTTCAGTCAAGGCAGTACAGATTATCCTAAGGCCTACTTTATCTTCCTGATAAATTTTATTTTTTGTTGCAGGCAATGGCTGGAAAGCTTTCCTTAGAAGACATTATGTAGAGGAAGATGAATATATATTTATCTGAAAATTTTACGACAAAATGCTCTTGATCTCTAAGATTACAATATAGTTGGCATAAGGGCCCCTACTAATTTAGCATTAGAAATGTTTGTACTGGAAGAAAGGAAGGACCTACTTACTGAAGATAATGGGTACTTTCAAGTACTTTCCTAGGCAAAGAGCTGCTTTAAGATATTGTAGTAATGATTTTCTCAGAACAGAGGAAGAGGTGTACTTACACTGCGAATGTGTGTGTTAACGATCAATAAGTTACCCAGTTTTTGTAAGCCAAAACAAAACACACAACACATTCTGCAAGTTTGTAATCAGAAAATGGAATAACTGATGTGAGGAAAGAGAAGTCAGAAGTGTGTCCTATTTCCTTGCTTGTCTGGGGTGGAACAAGAACTGCTCAGAGCATCAGGAATAATGATATCAGCATAGCCTTTCCTGAAGACAATTTATTTTTTTCCATGTTGAGAGATTGTTTTTACCAAGTTCGTATGTTTGTGGGCAGGGCTGCTGTTCAGAGGGAGCTGGAGAGGCTGGGGGGAACGGGTTGACAGGAACATTATAAAATTCATCACGGATAAATGCTAAGTCCTGCACTTGGGTGGGAACCCCCCCTCAGCAGGACAGGCTGGGGACTAGCTGGGTGGGGAGCAGGTCTGCCAGAAAAGACCTAGAGTTCCTGGTGGACAGCATGGTGCCTTGGCAGCAAAGAGGACCAGCAGGCTCCTGGGCTGTGTGACCAGGCGCACACTCAAGAGGTTGAGGGAAGTGATTGTCTCCCTCTGCTCAGCACTTGTGAAAACGCATCTAGATACTGCATCCAGTTTTGGGTTTAAACTGGAGGGAGCTCAGCAGAGGACTACCAAGATGGTCAGGCAGGAGCACTTGCCCTATAAGGAGAGGGCTGTTCAGCCTGGGGAGGAGATGGCTTTGGGGAGACTCAACAGCAGCCCCCAGCACTTACGGGGAGGTGATTGAGAAGACAGAGGCAGGCTCTTCACAGTGGTGCATGTTAAGAGTATGAGTAACAATGGCGATGAACTGCAACAAGAGAAGTCCCAACTAGGTATTAAGGGAAAAAATTCACTGTGAGGATAATTAAACAGTGGAACAAGTTGTCCAGTGAGGTTGTGGCATCTCTGTCCATGGAATTTTCAAAGACCCAACTGGACTAAGCTCTAAGCATCCTGGTCTGAATTCAATATTGGCCCTCCTTTCAGTAGAAGTCGACTTCCAAGATCCCTTCTGAATTGCATGATTCTGTAGAAAATGGCAGGAATCAGATTGGGTTTTTTTTTCAGTTGGGTTTTGTTTGTTGTTGTTTTTTCTTTTTTAGTATGGTTTGCTATCTTACTTGTGCAACGTTCTTGCTCTCTATTGTATAGTATAAAAAAGAGAGGTGCAGAAGTGGGTAGTTGTCTCCATCAGGTCTACAAAACTGGGAAGAATATTTTTGTGACCACATACGGAGGTAAAGAGCTATTTTTACTAAGTGTGATCACTGTACTAATCAAGCTGAATATGTTTGAGAATCCAGCAGCTCTGAACTGGCACAGAGAACTACCTGTACTTGGACAGATAGATGTGAGGAAAATTTTCAATTGATTTCTGGACTGCAACTTGATAGGAGTAGAGGCAGCAGTTATACTGGTCTGAGCATATCAATATCTGGATGAACTTTCAAGGAGAGAAAATTAACTCTGTATTATATGAGGGGACTGATGGGTAAAGAATATCCGTGATGCTTTGATTCCAGATGATAATTTTTGTGAGATCTTTAAAAGCCATTTGAATTAATAACAAATTTGACCAGTGTCTCATTTCAAATAATATGTAGCATTATCTGAAAGTTGACTTGGAGGGGAGCAATTTGTGTGGATGCCAGAACAAAATTGTTCTTCTGGAATATATCTTTAATAATACCTGTTGTTCTTAATGTTAGAAATTCAGATTTCTATAAATGTTCTTTGCCGTCAGGTTGTGCCTTTATTAAGTGTTCAGAGTTACGTCTGATTGTATTGTTCGGTAATTTCTGTTCAGATAAGTTTTTGTTATATTTGTATCACAGAGATGTTGAAGAACATTTTATAAGAAATGTGATGATGCTTTTAAGTGAAAGTCTTACTGGGACTAAAATTAATTGTACTGAAGTTATTGTGTGTGGGAGAAAATGTTTCATATCTTTCAGAGATGTACTTCAAAGCTGTAATGACTCAAAAGAGCTTGATCACCTGATGCTTGTGATATGTATTAAGATATCACAAGTCTGATAGTTTAAACACTCAAATATGTAGCCAACTCTTTTCATTACAGGGAATGAACAGCAGAGGTACCTGATTTTATTCTGTTAGTGCTATGATTGTTCTTTTTGTTTTTAAACAAAGCTTTACTATTTAATTAAGTGAACTCTTCTTTATGTAGCTTGTCCTAAAAATCTAATGTTTCTTTCTGTACAAGAATTTCTAATATTGTTTTCCACACTTTTCCCTGATAATTTTACTACTGACTTAAGGTCCAGATTCATCCCTTCCATAAAAACTCAGGAAGGAGAGGGGAAAGAGGAAACAGGGTAGGAAATTATACATAGCCAGATAAATATGAGATTAGAGATGGTGAAGAGCACAAGGCAGTACGTGCATCCGGAAGAAAAATTGACCTAACAGTATGTGGTAGGTATACTGGAAAAAAGATGTAGAGAATAAGTAAAACATACTTCAGTGGGAGAGAGAAATACATTTTGACACACAAAAGAATGTGCCAGAGTCTAGCAAGGCAGAAGGAGGGGGAAATAGATTGATAAAAACATCTGAGATGGAATGGACGGGGGGAAGAGAAAAGAGATTTTTGTCAAGAGAATGTCTAAACCCTTTTAGGAAGGATGAAGATGAAGGAATACAACATCAGTGACTCTATATCCTGCAGGATTAAGAAAAGCAAGTAATGCTTTCTGGAGACGTATTTTCAGTAGCTGCATTTCTTTGCTTGCAGTTACGCTTATTTTCACAGAATTTTTCTGCGCTGAATAAAGCATATCAGTGAAGAAGCTGATGATGAAATGCAAAAGGGAGTTCATTTCTGCAGAAATGTAATAGAACTGATGGGTATGAAGTCAACCATCAAGTATGGAAGATAAATCTTGAGAGGTGTTTAAACCATCCAGTACCGACAGCTAGCAGTGGAAGAAAGCTTTCAAGAAAATCTTTTGAAAAAAAAAGTAACTGTGTCCTGTTCTAGCAGTCATGACTACGTGGTCCTGCTGCTATTGCTGCTACTGAAAAGAAGTAATATTTGTGTGTGTGCAGGAGTCGCAATCCTTTTTCAGCTTCTGAAGGACACTACAAGTCTGTTTGAGGCCCTTGTTTTATCTTAGGGAGATCCAAGCAAATATGTAAATATGTATTTTAAATTGCTGAGGTAAGAGTAATTGCTGATTTTGACCACGTTGAAGTTGCATTTTTCACTCTCTGTAAGGAAGTTTCTTCTGTCTCAGGCACTGCTTAAACTTATCCTTCTAGAGTTCAGATTTTCATCTATACCTGGTCCTATACCTTGGTCATGCGCATGACACATGCCTAAGTACTTGCTTTTTTAACTTCTGAATTAGAATCATCACCAGCGTCTGTAAAAATGTCTGATTCTGGATGTGGGGGTGTCAGTGACCATGTTTTGTTTTTCAGCAATGCTCTAGGTCTTTTTTCACGTGTAAGATTTGGCTAGGTCAGATGACCTCTGAACTCTTGTTCTTGTCTTCTTTACCACATACAAGCGTATCATGTTCAGTGTTCTGGCGTAAGGTAGGGTCTGGTTAGATGTCTGACAAGTTGGAAACCTTCCCTGGAAACCTTGTCTGTTGACTGACTTCTTATGAAGCATTGTCTGGTTAACTGCAGTATTTTGACAAACCTCTGAAGTTGTATTGTTGCTAACAAAGTATTCTCCCATGTTTACAATTTGGGAAACATTACCATTTTGTCTGAAAGTTGAGAAAACTAGTAATTTTTTTTTTTAAAGTACTGGAAAACAAAAGTTAAATTGTATTATACCTAGACAAAGGACATAAATGTAATATGCTGGGAAGCATGGCCAGTGAATAACCGCTGTCTTAAGGCATGTTTCGTGATTTAGAGAAGTGTCATTGTGCCCTACCCCTGTATTGGTAAAACTCCCGAAGCAACTGCTTTTGGCTGCTGTTGGAGAAGATCCTCAGCTAAACGAACTAACACAACTAGTCTCACGGTTTTCATTGGCATGTGTAAGGCGAAAAGGAAAATGTTATGTTCCTTTCAGCTCTTTCAGTATAGAAATTATCTGAAACACTGTCTTTCCTTCTTATTTATTTATTTATTAATTAAATGGTCATCAGAGCATTCCATGTATGGAAGGAACACTGTATGTCCAAATAGACAGAGCTACTGTGCAATGTTGTTTTAAAACTCACGGCCACTGAGGGCTTGATTGAGTTGCTTGTGCACAGGCATGAAATGTTGGTGAAGATAACTAAGGTTCGCAGCCCAGTCTTTACTGCTTCTCCAGAAGTCTACAGGTTCCCTACAAATCAACCCCACCTGTAGGACTGGGTACTCTCGGGTGTGTTGGGTGAGAATAGAAGCCTGGGAATGGACAACTAAATTAATCCCTACCTGTGTTTAAATACTTCCACCTATGCTATATGTGTAGTTCTACATGTAATACTTTGATATGCATGATGCAAATAGCAGTAGAAGCACTCTCACTATATCCATTTTTTTCCAGTTCATTACATAACTTGACAGACGTTAATTGCAACTTAAATCTCATCTGATTGGTTTTTCTCATACTTAAAGGAGAACAAAGACCTATGATATTAATGTCTGAGGATGAGCATGTTGCCTGATGTTGAAAAGAGTTATTTAGTCATTAGTCACTTGTGCTCAGGGATTTATTAGTCATGGTAATGTCTCCAATTAGTTGAAGGACAGAGAGCATAATTAGGGCACTTTTTGCCTAATTACTGTTAACTGTATACATGCAGTTTACTGTTGAGTTTATGAGGCTAGCTGAAGTGTTATAACAAGCATGCTAAGAAGTTAGGTCTCTTTCTTATTTATAAAATCATTAAAATTAGGATTAACACCCACAGTAATAGATGTAAAATAGCATCGTGCCATGGAACAGAAATGTTTGAGTGTCTGATGACATATTTTTGTTCTAAATCATTGTCTCTACAGACATTCTGAAAAAGACCTACTGAGTGAACTTTGTTGAAAAAAAAATATTTTACAGTAAATGGAGAGAGGATCGAGTATTATGTTCTGTGTATAGTGAAATAACCTTTAGATGAACTTGGAAAGGAAAAGAATTCCTCTTTAATTAAGTTTGCCTTTCTTCCTGGGGTTGTGAGAGAGAGGGGAAAGTGCTGCTGTTAAAGTGAGGGTGGAGTTAATTGACATTAATCTTCATGGGTTTGTTAGATTTATTTTAACTGCAAAGAAGTAAAAAGGTGCTCAGCCCAAGTTAACTGTTGCTAAATATTGAAACGGCATACCTGAATTTAACATTTTATTTTCTGCTTTGGAATGAAGTTTGCTGTCTTCTGTCTTTCCTTCTACCCCATTCCAAACCTTGCGGAAAAAGCTGGACTTTGCAATGTGAGACACACAGAAACTCAGACAAAAGATCAACAGTTCTGAACCATCTTATTTTCCAAAGTGAAAGTTTCTTTAAAGAACATGGTCTAGCAACCTCAGTTAGATCCTGGTAACACCATTTCAACTGGTCCTGCCGACTGTGTAATTCTGAAGGGATTTCTACCTTTGAAACAGAGTGGGTCAAGTCTATTTAGTGTGACAAAGATCAGTAATTCAGATGCATAGAAATGAATATGTACACAGCATCTGTCCTGTTGCCATCATGTGTTTAGGTGCTCTTTTTGGGGAGCTAGCTGCTTTATGCAACTCCTCCCAAAAACCTCTGGATTGAGAATTCAAGTTGGCAAGTGTCGTGTGCTCTGCTTCACTGGAGGGCATACAGAAGACTTTCTATATATTCCGGTCACTTCCTTTTTCCGGCCAGCATCATTCCTGTCTTATCTCAGTCCTGTGGCTGCACATCAGTGGTTATGGCTTAGGAATCAAAAGTGTAGAACTGGGTGCCATCAGCACTGCAGAGACATTATAGTCTTCATTGCGTGCTCGATGGCCTTTGGCACATTTTAAAGAAGAGTTAAAATTATTCAAATTCTCTGCAAATATTTGGGCTGATCCTAAGAGTCAGGTGCCCTGGGTCTGTACAGTGCTCTGGTGGTTTTGCTGTACTTTCTGCTGTTTGTGGGAAGGAGGACAAAAAGAGGAAGAAGAAAAGGTCAGTTTTGTAGTGGGCATGTCTCTTTCCTTAGAGAACTGCTTATAAATTAAATTTTACTCCTCATCATCTTAATGCCCCTGGGGAAAGGCTGGGATTGCCTCTGCACTCTTAGCAACTGTAAGCTAATTTATATAGTAATTAGATGACATAAAGTACAAACAGACCAAAAATATATATTAAAAAAAAGTAGTAGCGAAACACGAAAGAGATGGCAATAGGTAGCTTTGAGGGAAAAAGAGTGTACATTTACAAAACTTAGCTTCCTACTTCTTTTAGTGCTCCCATTAGTGGGATCCCGCTAATGGGAGATGTTAAATATTTAATATCTGACATTTCTATAATGTCTATGTAGTGCAGTAAAGATTAAGTATTTTATGGTGCATTTCAATTTAAAAGAATGAAGGCACTTTTCAGACTGTTACGGGGGAAGCTGTCAGTGAACCTTGTATTTAGATTGCATGTTACTTTCAGCTATAATAGGCTCTTGCGACTTGTTTGCAGCAAGCTAGTTCAGGACTTTCATACCTTTCTTTCATTGTCTGGGAACCTATTGAGCTGTGGCAAGCTCCCTGTTGCACTTCCCAAATTAAGCAGGCATGCCAAAACCACTGAGCAGTTTCCACAGCCATGATAGTCTTCATTTTCAGTGAGACTTGCTAGTGTTATCTGAGAGGTGATGCAAGGTCTTACGAATACAGACTGTTTTGGTGCATTCTCCCAGAGGAATGCAGTAAAAGCCAAACGTGCCTACTCCATCTCTGTCCTTTCCTGACTTTTTCTGTATTTTCCCCCTGAAGGTATAGTGTGGAACATTCTGGTGGTCTTCATTCCTGTAGGAAATTTACTGAAAAATTCCACCCTTAGTTTTGAGGGCAGTGTATGTCTGTGTAATTTAGAAGCCCTTAAATCCATTTCTAATAATACAGCAGTAACATTTTTAGTTTTAGTGTACAATACAAATTGGTACAAGCACAGTAATTTAATTCCTTTCTTTTACTGGAATATCTCTGCTTATACTAACATTGGAACTGATTTATATGGATTGCATATGCTCTGTAATAATTGCTAGCCAGTGTCCATTTGTGAAGATACGTTGTGTGACTGTCAGAGTTACTGCTATCAGTGTGATGCACTTTGCTTGACTTGAAGCCCATAGCAGTTCCCTGAAATAAGCTGGATGAGTAATATAGATTGCAAACTTTAGCACTGGAGGAATACTTAAGTCCACACTCATTTGATTCAAAGGGAAAGAAAACTGCTTCCAGGCATTCTTTGACCTTTCAGTGATATCTGAGTGAATCTGCAGATGCAACCAAGGTATTGCGATTCTTTTCTAATGACTTAGTGATAAACTATATATTGCTGCTTATCTAATTAAAAGATAGGCAATAAATGAATGTGTGTTTTCCTTGTACATTTGTTTCATCTTGATAAAATAGGTAGTTAACAAATGATCTTCTTAACTGAAAGGAATGGTACAGCATTTTAACTATACCACATATACATGCAGATACATAATGGACACATGACTGCAGCTTCGGTGAATGTTTAGTCATAGCTCATGGATGTAATGTTTGTTTGTTTTCTTAGAATTTGAATGGAGTTGAATAAGTATAGAAGTCTTATTTTTTTTATATCATAGCTAGAACGGAGGCTACTAGGAAGGAGATTCTGTTAATGTTCTTGACACCAAGATGTATCTATTACCATGATTAAGCATCTCTTAGAAATATTAGTACCTGTGGTGGGTTTACCCTGGCTGGATGCCAGGTGCCCACCAAGCCGCTCTATCACTCCCCTCCTCAGCTGGACAGGGGAGAGAAAATATAACGAAAGGCTCATGGGTCAAGATAAGGACAGGGAGAGATCATTCACCAATTACCATCACAGGCAAAACAGACTCAACTTGGGGAAATTAGTTTAATTTATTACCAATCAAATCAGAGTAGGATAATGAGAAATAAAACTAAATCTTAAAACACCTTCCCCCCACCCCTCCCTTCTTCCCAGGCTTAACTTTACTCCCAAATTCTCTACCTCCTCCCGCCCAGTGGTGCAGGGGGATGGAGAATGGGGGTTGCGGTCAGTTCACCACATGTTATGTCTGCTGCTCCTTCCTCCTCAGGGGGAGGATACCTCACACTCTTCCCCTGCTACAGCGTGGGGTCCCTCCCACAGGCGACAGCCCCCCATGAA